CCAAGAGAGAATATAACTATTCTCAGTATCTCAATAGTTTAAGGAGAACTTAATTTAGTTCTTTTTCTGTCCAGGAACATGTGAAAATGCCCCTCCAATTTCATAATACCAAACCAATGTTTTGTATTAGATTATTCTAAGGATGACTCTTTGCTTATTTGGCACGACTTTCTGGCTACTAAATCTTGTCCTTTGCCTATTTTACCTCCTCAATGGTAGGGAAGGAAAAATGGAATTCTACTAGCTTTTTGTTATTCTTGTAAAAGAAATGGTCACAAAAGTTAAAATTACTAAGAAAAGCCATATGAGTATATAAAACAAAAAATGAGTATATGTAATTTAAATTTTATCAGCAAAAAATAAACTCAAATGTTTACAAATATTATTTTATTACCAATCCTTATTTAATAATAGCCAAACCATTCCACTTCTTTAATTTTTAGAAAAGAGAGATGTTTCGGTCTGCACTGAAATACCAAAATAATTTCCTCATTTCATAAGGAATGCTTCCAGAGACTTTATTACATTGTTGCCTGTCTTGCCTCAATAACTATACATACACACACACATACTACATATATATGTGTAGCATATGGCAAAGAATATAAAAAATATTCAGAAAACATCTAAGAAAAACAAAAACAAAAAGAAGAAGAAATACAAGTTTGATGAATAAAACTGAGAAAAAGAAGAACTTTTATTTTACTTGTTACACATATGTTTTATTAAGTTTGCCAAAAGTCCAGATGATATCACTGCTGGCTAATTCAGGGACCAGATTATTGGCTAGAAAGATTAACACAGGCCTTCTTCAGATGTGAGCCCTTCCTTGAAATGAAGAAAAACACTTTGTACGATCTGGAGGGATGTGCCAATAGTATATAAGTAAAACACAGAACATCAGCTTTATATTCAGTTTTCTCAAACTAGTTCAATTTACAAAGATAAGGATCACCCCCAAAGTTATCTCTCTTCTTCCCATATTCTTACTTTGTATAACCACGAACCTAGTTCCACTTCTTACTCTCATTTTTATAAAACAGAAACTTAACTGTTACCATTTATGTGCTCCCACCCAGTATTGACAGAAGGGAAATTAGAAATCCAGGGTCTGAGAGTGGTGCCTGGAGGGGAACCAGGCTCTCAGGTGTGTTTTACTTGTTCAACACAGTGTAGGAGGAAAGAGAAGAAGAGCCTCATCATCTCCTAGTGCCTTCCACTGACTCCACCACACATTTTTTCATCTGCTTTCCTCCTAAAGGCTATTAACTCCCCCATCTAGTCTGAAAGAATTTTCTTCTTCTCCTTGCTTCCTTATTTTACAGATAAGGAAACAAGAATTCAAGAACAATTAATTTGTCTTAATAAATAACATAGAGGGTGGGTTATCAGTAAAGCCTCAGTAAGAGTACAGTGACCTAGTTCTACATCTCCCCTCTGACTCTATCATACTCTTCCACAAATTCAGTCCAGAGCCTGAAACACCAACATGTTGAAAGAAAAAGGGGGAACCAGCATACAAAATGTATACAGAAAATAATTATGTGTTTTTGTCACAGTACAGGTTTTTTCCATATTTATGCCAACCCAACCAAAGGTGGCTAGGAACTAGATGAATAGGTGAGTCATGGGTACAGGAGTTGTTGATGAAACAACATATCCATAGTTAACACTGCACTGGTATTAAGGCCAAGACACTGCATTTCTAACAAGTTCTCTCCTAATACCATATCCCTACATTCAAGTGTGCAGAACTTGACACAACCTGGATATCTCCTGGTGTTCTGTTTTTTTCTGACCCTTTCTTAGCTGTAAACTAGTTTATTTTACACTGCATAGCCTTGTACAATGATGTGTTGAATTTAAATTAGAGGAGGGGTATTTGCTATTCTTCCCACTTACCAGTATAGTTCTTAACCATTCTGTGGGTCTGGATTCTAGCTGCCTATAAAGTGAATGAACACCTAACCGTACTCCTAAGTCACTTCTAGTTCTAGATTAAACTCCATGCCTTCCAGGATCCCTTGATTATGCCCCTTTTTACCAAACTGGAAAACTTCAAATCATCTATAGAGATGAATAACAGTACAGGTCTGTGGGGCAATGAAGCTTTTAGTTTTTTCTCTTAGAACTCTTACTTTGAAGGAGAGTCACTAAAGCTCTTCAATTTCTTGCAGTAGGGGCACAGACAACCCAAAGCAGAAGATATCCTTAGGGGACAAACACTGAGTACATCTGAAAACATAAGGGAAAGGATGAGAGGTGAGTGTGGGGTCTGCAAATGGGCTACCTATTTCCGTGGCTATTGTAGGACCATTGGAGTCAAGGAGAGGCAGAAATTCCATCAAGTTTCAAAAGCAAGAAAACAACTTTGATTCTGCCTTTCACATCAGAACTAAAAATTCTTAATGTACTCTACTAGTACCAAAAAGTATCTTTAAATTAATGAGGTCAAGCTATACCAAATGAGGGATTATTGTGAAAAACTGTGAAAGCATTTTGCATTTTTATACAGTGACTTTCTGCCTGAATATAAATGAAGGGATATTAGTAATGATTACATGTACAGTTGTTTCAAAACCAGAGGAAAAACTTGTGAGGAAGCACTAAGAATGCTCATTAAGACTCTTTAAGCATGTACAAGGTAAAACTTTTGGGGAAGAAATGGCAGATAGACAAAACCAACTAAACCAGGACAAATAACTTTAAATTGCATTGTATCTGATTGCATAGTAACATAATTCTCAAGTTAATAGGCACAAACACTTAAAATAATGAAGTTCCACAGGTAAAATGGTGCTACTCTACTTTGTTTATTCAGAAATGCAAATTTTGACTTTAAAGGGAATTATCCTACTTAAAAGTAGTAATTTGTATGAAGTGAAGAACTGATCATGCTTTACTTCAGAATTAGTTCTGTTTCATTTCACTCCATAAGCTGTTACATAAACTAAACAAATATAAAAATTAAAATGCTACTAAACAAACAATATGTCCTGAAAACCCATGAAAAATTTCAGGTTCCATTTCTTGATTCACTGTTAAAACAATCCCTAAGAACTGAAAAAAATAAAAATAAAAAAACTTTATTTTTCTCTGCTTTATGGGTGCTCTTGATTATAAATTTTTTTACTTTCTTAAATTGTTATCATACTAAATTTAAAATTTATCTTAACATGTACTATCTTTCAGTGAAAACTCTTCACTACAATTACTAAAAGCAGTATCATGGATATTAAACATAGTACCATAACATTAGTTTGAAATGAACCACTCTACTGAATAACATATCTAATATTAAAAAGCCTCTAATGCTTACATGAAGGTTCAAAATAAGGTCAAAAGAGGAGAAGCATTTAGGAGAAACTTATAATGGACAACAAAATTTTTTTTACCAACCTCAAAACTTGAACAAAATCATTCTAATATATTACCATTGTGCACAGGAGTTTTCTTGCTTTTAAAAGTTATCAATTGGTTATTTCTGTTATCTAACAGCTCTTGAAACATCAGCAGGCTGATGAAGGTGCTCATCAAGACCAATTATTGTACTCTTTTAGTTTGAATACTGAGAATGTCGACAGTTTTTAACACTGAAGACAGATGGAAATAAATAATAACCCTTACAAAGTCTAGTCACTAGAAGATTAACTTTCTAATCTCCTTGAAAAATCTTCACTTTGTTCCAAGTACCACTTATAGCTAGCTGCTAACATTTAATGAGTGCTTCTTATGTGCCAAGCACTGATCTTTAACCTTATTTCCTATCATTGTAACCTTATTTCCTAAATTATTTTTTTGTCTTTCTCCTCCACTAATCTAGAGGCTCCACGGAGAAAGGGACTTTATCTAATTCCATATTGTTGCTTAGCATACAATATGCCTAACACATAGGAGTAGGCACTAAATAAATGAGTCAGTGTTCTAAAAGTTTTAAATAATTTTTTTTAACTTTTGGGCATGATCTGGGGGGCTAAGAAAATGAAAAAGAAAAGAAAATAGACTGTTTACATCTAATAGATGTAATAAATTACATCTAATAGAATATTCTTTAGTGAAACTTTTAGTTTGTATGTATGTATCCTATATAAAATATATTTCTTACTTATAGGTAATACTAAGAAGAAAGTGTGAAAATCACTGCTCCTCACAAATAATGCTAAAGACAATACCGTAAGTTCTACTTTAAAATAACAGAACTGAGATTTCTGGATGTTATATATGATGTCCAAGATGACAGTTATCTACAAATACAGACATCACTTCTATAGATGCTCACTAGCATGGTACTATATTAAGAAAATCTGAATTAACTAAATAAGGTTTCAGTGATAGTGACTGTGACATGATTAATAAGGAAAAAAAAATAGACATCTAAGGCACACAGGCTTGTTTGAATTTAATACCTGGCTCTGCCACTAGCCAGCTGTGTGGACTTTGGCCTAACTTACCCTCTTTGCACCTCGATTTCCCCATTGATGGATAAAAGAGGGATAGTCATAAATAATAAATTCAAAAAAATAATTTCTTTAAATTATGTGAAAGGAAATTCATAAAGCAGTTGTCAGTTTTAAATTATTTAATGTATGTAAACAGCGTAGACCTAGTGGGCTAGTAAAAGTTACTGTGATTAAAATACTATTATTGTCTTTTTTTCCTGGCCCAATAAAACACATTCAATCCACTGCACCATGATTTGAATGTGTAAAAGTGTGAATCAGGAATTTACTGGATTAAAAAGCAAACGCTGCTGTTGGGTAAGAAAGATGCCCTAGTCAAGATCAGGGAGTTGGTGTAGATTAACTATGGGAATCCAGGGAAACCACACTACTTCACCATTAAAACAAACAACTTCAGCCTTCCTCACAGTTAACATCCATTTTCTTCCTCCACATCCTGGCTGGGGCCAAACCAGGGTGTTAGGAAACGCACCTGGTTAGCTCCCGCCAACGAGGCCCTGGTACCAAGGAGTTAGGGCACAGAGGTTAGGAGTCACTCACCCCGGAGACTCCGTTGATATTGCCCCAGAATGTCCTCCAGGGTAGAGTTCTCCGGGGACTTCGCCATGCATACAGTCGGGGCCTAGAGGTGGGAGTTACGAAGGGAAGTGTCCTGTGTTCTCTCCTCCGAGAACACGAGGCCTTATAGCAGAGCCCGAAACGCGCCCGCCTGTTTCCTGCTGCTGCTGTCATTGGGGAGCACGGAACCCAAGACGGAGTTCGCGGGGGCTCCTTCCATCTACTTGCCCTCACGGTGCACGTCGGGAGTTGTAGTCCACAAACTCCAGGACCGAGGCCTGGAGGCTAGCGAAGCACTTCCTCTACACTACAAGTTCCAGAGTATCCCGCGGTGCCAGCGCCAGCTTGAGCTGTTTGGCTGCCCTATCTGGTTGCCAAGAGACAGCCTGGAGGTTCCGCCCTTTTTAAAAACTGTAGCCTAGCTCGGTTGAGTCCTGCCTTTATCCCGTCCTGCTGTTCGGACCACCCAACTGACAGCAAGGGCTCCCTAAAGGCTTTGACCTGTCTAAATTTGCGACTATGCGGTTTACCCTCCAGGCTTCTCGAGAACGCAAATAACAATCTCTCCACCCTTCAGCCGCGCCATTGCCAAAACGGCCAGACCAATTCTCAAGAAAATGAAGCTCTACATCTTACAAGCAGCTTAGCTAGCGAAGGCGGCTGGCACTACAAATCCTAGTATGCCCAGTAGCCCGAACGGCCCTGGGAGCTGGCGCACTGCCCGCTGGGAACTGTAGTCCCTGTTGGTGGCGGTCCGCTAACGCCCAGAATCCTCCTCCATTGTTCAGGCCGGTCTTTGGGGCACGCCTGCGCAGTGACAACTGAAAAAAGCTTGTGGGTGAGACCCTCCGCACAACCCCCTTTCATTGTCTGTGTTTGGCGCCTGCGCAATGCGAGATCGCTGGGCCTGGGCAGTAGGAGGGGAGCGGGCCAGGCTCGTCACCCTTGCCCCGAGCGCCTGCGCACTGGTACCGCTCTTTGCCATTACCGCTATGTGTGGGGCGTGTGTGGAATAACGTTACTGCCCAACGGAGCGGAGGGGCCGAAGCTCGACCGCAGCGGCGGCGACGACGACGGGGTGGGGGGAGGACGGCGTACGAGAGACTCACGGGACGCAACGCGCCCCGCCTCCCCCGTCCGGTCCCTCTCCGCGGTGAGGGGTAAGTGATGCGCTAGGCGTTCGCGGTGGGCGCTGCCCGTTTGGCCGCCGCTGCCCTTCCACATGGCCTCCGGGCGTCCGGCGGGGCGCCGCCCGCGGGGAGCACGGGGCTGGGCCAGCGACCTAAGGGCGCTCCATGCAGGCCCCGCGCGGAGCCATCGCCCCTATGCTGCCAACCGGGCCGGGGGGCGTCTCTCGCCCCACGCCCCACCCCCACTGCTGGTCCCACTCCTGCGGCCCGGGCTCGTCCGGCAGCCGACGCCTCTTCCTCTAAATGCGTCGAGTCGTTTCTAGCTCTGCGGGCTTTGTGCAGCGCCACCCCCTGCCCACCCCCGCCTCCGCCGTGGCTGTTGGCTAGGGTGCGGAGGTGCGGCCTCTGTGGAGGGTCTACCCGGGTCGCAGCTCCTGGCAGCGCCGAGCCCTTCCCAGCTGTGGGTTTTGGGCTGTGGGGCGGATGCGGGGAGGTCAGGCGAGGCGCCTGAGGGTCGCGGCTGGAGGGCGTGGACGTCGTGGAGCGCGCACTCTGCCGGGCGACTGCACCCTACTGAGTCTCGGCTCCCGCTCTGTAATGAGCCCTGGGGAGGAGAGCGGCTTCCTCTCGGCTTCATTGTCCTTCCGTTGTGATTCCCTTCATTTTATGCAAGGGGAAAAAAAATACTGGCAGCTGTTTGACACAGGGCGGGAAGATGTGAGATTTGTAGTCTCAGCCATATATCTCCGCGTTTTTGATGATCACTGCAGCTTATTTATTTGAAGAATGTAAGCAGGGGCAGTGCCTGCCAAAGCATTGCCAAGATGATCGATATAAAATTAGATGACCGTGAAGATTGGCCTAGGAAGGCCGACGACTAAGCTGTTATGCACCACGGATATGAACCAGCAGAATGTATTTTCACTGGGTGGGTAACGCATTTCATGTTCCTAAGGGGACAGATTAGGATACATCTTTCCGTTTTGTTTTTTAAACAGTAAGAACAAACAAAAAATAGGCCGGGTACATTTATGTTTCTGAATTTGTTTATACTTCTTTATCTTAATGAAAATTCACCCATTTGAGAGAAACGTGTAGAAGCAGATGATACATTTGATTGAAAGTATTTTTTAAATATTTGATCCTTAAGTTTCCAATGCTTACAACCGCTTGTTGGTATTAAAACAAGCAGGAGAGAGAATAAAGCCGAATGAGGAGGAGCAGGTGGAAGAATGATGGGGAGGAGAGATTTACATTCTTAATACTGTATCTGGGTCTTCATTGATAAAACTGAGCTGGGTATGCTGCAGCGATTTAGGAATTCAGCTCTGGAAATGCTGCATTGCAAGTTACAAGCCATTTTGTATTTTTATGTCATTATTATTTTTTTTTGGTGATGTCTTTTTTTATTTTTTGGGAATCATTAATGTACAATTACATGAAGAACATTATGTTGACTAGGCTCCCCCCTTCACAGTCACTGTCCATCAGTGTAGTAAGATGCTGTAAAATCACTACTTGTCTTCTCTGTGTTGTAGAGCCTGCCCCGTAAACCCCCCCCCAAATTATACAAGATAATTGTAATGCCCCCTTTCTTTTTCCCCATCCTTATCCCTCCCTTCCCACCCATCCTCCCCAGTCCCTTTCCCTTTGGTAACTGTTGGTCCATTCGTGGGTTCTGTGATTCTGCTGCTGTTTTGTTCCTTCAGTTTTCTTTGTTCTTAATACTCCACATATGAGTGAAATCATTTGGTACTTGTCTTTCTCTGCCTGGCTTATCTCATGAGCATAATACCCTCTAGCTCCATCCACGTTGTTGCGAATGGTAGGATTTGTTTTCTTATGGCTGAGTAATATTCCATTGTGTATATGTACCACATCTTCTTTATCTGTTCATCTACTGATAGACATTTAGGTTGCTTCCATTTCTTGCCTATTGTAAATAGTGTTGCGATAAACATAGGGGTTCATCTGTCTTTTTCAAACTGGTCTGCTGCATTCTTAGGTTAAATTCCTAGAAGTGGAATTCCTGGGTCATGGTATTTCTATTTTAAGCATTTTGAGGAACCTCCATACTGCTTTCCACAATGGTTGAACTAATTTACATTCCCACCAGCAGTGTAGGAGGGTTCCCCTTCCTCCACAACCTCGCCAACATTTGTTGTTGTTTGTCTTTTTGATGATGGCAATCCTTACTGGTGTGAGGTGATATCTCATTGTGGTTTTAATTTGCATTTCTCTGATAACTAGCAATGTGGAGCATCTTTTCATGTGCCTGTTAGCCATCTGGATTTCTTCTTTAGAGAACTGTCTATTCACCTCCTCTGCCCATTTTTTAATTGGATTATTTGCTTTTTGTTTGTTGAGGTGTGGGAGCTTTTTATATATTTTGGATGTCAGCCCTTTATCAGATCTCTCATTTATGAATATATTCTCCCATAGCGTAGGGTACCTTTTTGTTCTATTGATGGTGTCCTTTGCTATACAGAAGCTTTTCAGCTTGATATAGTCCCACCTGTTCATTTTTGCTTTTGTTTCCCTTGCCTGGAGAGAGATGTTCATGAAGAATTCACTCATGTATATGTCTAAGAAATTTTTGCCTGTGTTTTTTTCTAAGAGTTTTATGGTTTCATGACTTACATTCAGGTCATTGGTCCATTTCGAATTTACTTTCGTGTATGGGGTTAGACAGTGATCCAGTTTCATTCTCTTACATGTAGCTGTCCAGTTTTGCCAGCACCATCTGTTGAAGAGACTGTCATTTCCCCATTGTATGTCCATGGCTCCTTTATCATATATTAATTGACCATATATGTTTGGGTTAATATCTGGAGTCTCTATTCTGTTCCACTGGTCTGTGGCTCTGTTCTTGTGCCAGTACCAAATTGTCTTGATTACTGTGGCTTTGTAGTAGAGCTTGAAGTTGGGGAGTGAGATCCCCCCTACTTTATTCTTCTTTTTCAGGATTGCTTTGGCTATTCGGGGTCTTTGGTGTTTCCATATGAATTTTTGAATTATTTGTTCCAATTCATTGAAGAATGTTGCTGGTAATTTGAGAGGGATTGCATCAAATCTGTATATTGCTTTGGGCAGGATGGCCATTTTGACGATATTAATTCTTCCTAGCCAGGAGCATGGGATGAGTTTTCATTTGTTAGTGTCCTCTTTAATTTCTCTTAAGAGTGTCTTGTAGTTTTCAGGGTATAGGTCTTTCCCTTCTTTGGTTAGGTTTATTCCTAGGTATTTTGTTATTTTTGATGCTATTGTGAATGGAATTGTTTTCCTGATTTCTCTTTCTATTAGTTCATTGTTAGTGTATAGGAAAGCCACAGATTTCTGTGTGTTAATATTGTATCCTGCAACTTTGCTGAATTCCAGTATTAGTTCTAGTAGTTTTGGAGTGGAGTCTTTAGGGTTTTTCTATGTACAATATCATGTCATCTGCAAATAGTGACAGTTTCACTTCTTCTTCACCAGTCTGGATTCCTTGTATTTCTTTGTTTTGTCTGATTGCCCTGGCTAGGACCTCCCATACTATGTTGAATAACAGTGGGGAGAGTGGGCATCCCTGTCTTGTTCCTGATCTCAGAGGAAAAGCTTTCAGCTTCTTGCTGTTCAGTATGATGTTGGCTGTGGGTTTATCATACATGGCCTTTATTATCTTGAGGTACTTGCCTTCTATACCCATTTTGTGGAGAGTTTTTATAATGAATAGATGTTGAATTTTGTCGAATGCTTTTTCAGCATCTTTGGAGATAATCATGTGGTTTTTGTCCTTTGTTGCTGTGGTGGATGATATTGATGAGTTTTTTTTATGTTATTCCATCCTTGCATCCCTGGGATCAATTGCACTTGGTCATGGTGTATGATCCTTTTGATGTATTTTTGAATTCTGTTTGCTAATATTTTGTTGAGTATTTTTGCATCTACGTTCATCAGGGATATTGGTACATAGTTATCTTTTTTGGTCGAGTGTTTGCCTGGTTTTGGTATTAGGGTGATGTTGGCTTCATAGAATGAGTTTGGGAGTATTCCCTCCTCTTCTGTTTTTG